GGTCCCAAGGCTTTGGGCCATCTTCTACTACTTTCCCAAATACGGGCCGGGAGCTGGAAGAGAAGTGGAGCAGCCCATGTGATCCTGGCGCATGAAAGGCAAGGATTTAGCCAATCAATTTAGCCCTCATTTAGCCATCATTTAGCCCGGCCCCACACCCAAATCTTAAAAAAAAAAAAAAAAGTATGCAGACTGGTTCTTACACCTCTGTCTCCCCTTGGTGGTCACTCTGTGAACTACAACACCCAAGGATTGTCCTAGAAGATGAATCCAGCTAACCAGCTGTGCCCTTTTCAGTTCAGGAACTGCACTACCAGGCGAGACACGGGAACCTGGCTTCTTTTCCCTCTTTGGTTTCTATTGTTTGTTTAAACAGTTATGTGTTTTTAGTTGAGAAGCAGAAGGATGCCATGTAAATAGGGTTTAGATTCACGTGGCATTTTCTCAGTCCCCAGCCCACAGCGCCCTCTTGGCCGTGCTGGCACTGGGAGGGGTCAGGCCTGGGACAGCTGGCAATTTCGCTGCTTTTTGGTTTAACCTCTGTGTGACTACACGGGAGTTAGGCTGAGGGTCCCTGTCCCCTAAGCTAGCGTCTCATTGCAGACGGGGCCTGCCGCTGGAACACCACCGGGATGCACGGGCTGAGGACGAAGGCTGGTGCAGGGAAGGCTTGCCCTGCCGGCCCCACAGGCCCTTCTCCGGGGCGAGGGGACACGGTGACTCCAGTGAGCCTGCCCAGGAGGCACCCACACACCCACCGCGTCCAAAGACCTTATATGCCAGGTCGGTTTGGAATCCTATGACCACTTCTCTTATCCAGATATATTATTTATTTGCTTTTTCAAAAAAGATTGATTTATTTTTATTGGAAAGGTAGATGTACAGAGAGGAGGAGAGACAGAGAGGAAGATCTTCCATCCGATGATTCACTCCCCAAGTGGCCGCAACGGCCGGTGCTGTGCCGATCCAAAGCCAGGAGCCGGGAACTTCTATTCAGGTCCCCAGTGTGAGTGCAAAGTCCCAGTGCTCTGGGCCACCCTAGGCTGTCTTCCCAGGCCACAAGCAGAGAGCTGGATGGGAAGTGGAGCTGCCGGGATTAGAACCGGCGCCCATATGGGATCCCGGGTCACGTTCAAGGCGAGGACCTTAAGCACCACGCTATCACGCCAGGCCCCATTATTTATTTGCAAGGCAGAGAGAAAGAAAGAGAATTTCCCATCTGCTGGTTCATTCCCCAAATGCCACCAACAGCTGGTTCTGAATGAGGCTGAAGCCCAAAGCATAGAATTCCACCCAAATCTGCCACGTGGGTGCAGGGGCCCAAGCACTAGAGCCATCTCCCGCTGCTTCCCCAGGCCCATTAGCACAGAGCTGGATTCCAACTGGAGCAACCAGGATTCGAACCTGCACCCATATGGGACGCTGACATGGCAGAGGACAGCTTGACCTGATGTGCCAACCACAATGGTTACAGGTTTTTTTTTTTAATATTTATTTATTTTTATTGTAAAGTCAGATATACAGAGAAGAGAAGAGACAGAGAGGAAGATCTTCCGCCTGATGATTCACTCCCCAAGTGATTGCAACGGCCGGTGCTGCGCCGATCTGAAGCCAGACGCCAGGGACCTCCTCCAGGTCTCCCACACGGGTGCAGGGTCGCAAGGCTCTGGGCTGTCCTCCACTGCTTTCCCAGGTCACAGGCAGGGAGCTGGATGGGAAGTAGAGCTGCCGGGATTAGAACCGGCGCCCAGATGGGATCCCAGTGCGTTCAAGGTGAGGACTTTAACCACTACACTATTGCACCGGACCCAATGGTTACAGTTTTTATAACCCCCAGGGAACTGGGACCAGCTCTGGGTATGGCTGTTACATGGACAGTGGGAGCCTGTGCAACAGGGGTTGTGCCAGGAGGCACCACCCCTCCTGGGGCCTCACACCATAATCTCCTTGTCACCCTCCTACCAGGCCCTCCTATCTTCCTTGGGCCCAGCGCAGTAGCCTAGCAGCGAACATGCTGTGAACATGCTGGGATCCCATATGGGCCCCAGTTCAGATCCCGGCTGCTCCACTTCCCATCCAGCTCCCTGCCTGTGGCCTGGGAAAGCAGCCGAGGACGGCCCAAAGCCTTGGGACCCTGCACTCACGTGGGAGAGAATTGAGAGGATGACAAACCCGAGAGTGACTGCCTCGGGCCTGGTGTAGGTTATGTTCTGCCAGTGACACTGACATCACATTTAGGTCCCAGCTGCTCTGTCTCCAATCCAGCTCCCTGCCAATGTGCCTGGGAGATCAACAGAGGTCGGCCCAAGCACTTGGGACCCTTCACCCTTCTGGGAAACCTGGTTGGAGTTCCAGGCTCCTGGCCTCAGACTGGCCTAGCTCTGGCCGTCCTGCCATTTGGGGAGTGAACTGTTACGGGGTGCAAGCGAGATCACACCAGACATGTCTAAGGTTTATTTAGAAGTCTTTATTAACCAACCTTGGTGATAATAGAGTACACTAGAAATAGCAAATCAAAATTCCATATGGCAGGGCCTGGCACTCTCATAGCCTAGTGGTTAAGGTCTGCGCCTTGCACACCGGGATCCCATATGGGCTCAGGTTCTAATCCTGGCAGCCCCACTTCCCATCCAGCTCCCTGCTTGTGGCCTGGGAAAGCAGTTGAGGACGGCCCAAAGCCTTGGGACTCTGCACCTGCATGGGAGACCTGGAAGAAGCTCCTGGCTTCAGATCGGCAAAGCACCGGCCGTTGCGGTCACTTGGGGAGTGAATCATCGGATGGAAGATCTTCCTCTCTGTCTCTCCTCTTCTCTGTATATCTGACTTCACAATAAAAATAAATAACTCTTAAAAAAAAAAAACCTCTACGTGGCAACCCAACGGATCTTAATCCAACCAAACATAACCCCAAGAGTAACCTGGACACACTTCCAAAGCTGCAGACATTCACCTTTCCCTGGCTTCTCTGCCCACATTCCATCACTGCTAGGCCTCCCCTCTGCTAGAACTGCAGACGGTACACAAACCAGACACAAGATTGCTATATCCATTGTCCCATCCAAGCAGTACACAGGCCCCACCTTCAGGACACAGCCACCTTCCATCCGCCCAATGGCAACGGGTGCCTGCTGTCACTGACTGCACCCCAGAGCATGAGCCAGCGGATGCAAGATCTCCGTGTTTCCCTTTTGCTCTTTGTAACTCCGCCTTTCAAATCAATCTCAAAACAAACAAAAACAAACCCACCACAGAGGAAGAGTTACAATGTTGCATCCACTCAACCTCTGAAACACAGAATGTTACATTCACCAGGGACAGTCACAACAAAGGTTTATTATAAACTAACAGTAATGACCGTCGGGGACCAACATCCCTTACCAGAGTGTGACCCCGAATTGCACACTCACGGGGCTCTCTAGGGACAGTCCACAATAGCTTGACAAGGGGCAACTCACAATAGCCTGCCAGGGGAGGGGGAAATATCAGACATTCCCTACCTATCTCAGCTGCACAGCCCGTGCCTGCCTCTTCTCTGCTTCAGCAATTGAGGTAGCCACCCATTTCATTACTCGGAGCCACCTGCGAGATCACCAGCCCCGGGCCTTGATTCAGGAGAGCTGGAGCCCATGGGTGCTAAAGGCCGTTCGGCCTGCGAGCTCACACAGTTTCTTAGTAGCAATGAGCCACGTTTCCTCCATTTTGCTTTCAACTGCAACAGATGCTGGTGTGAGATCTGCTGGGTTGAGTTTATCTCGCTTTGTCCTCGGGATGTGATTTGATGTCTGTGTCTCAGTTCCCGTGATTAAAAGTTAGATAATAATAGTCTTCTTGTCCTGTGAGGGTTCAACAAGGTGCCATTAACTATATGCAAAACATATATATTAAAAGAGGACCTAGACGGGTGCCTGCCAAGTGCTACTTCTGATTATTTTATACGCAGGGTAGAGATGCACGCGGTGGGGAGGGTGTTGGGACACATGCAGCTGTCATTTGGGGTACTCTGCTTCCTGCGAGGAGGCAGGGGATGGACTGGGGTGCCTGCCACCCATGGGGGAAGCCCTGGCACTGGGGTCTGGTCCAGAGGGGCTGTCTCCTTTATTATTTTTTTAATTGGAAAGGCAGATTTACAGAGAAGGAGACAGAAAGATCTTCCATCTGCTGGTCCACTCCCCAGATGGCTGCAAAGGCTGGAGCTGAGCTGATCTGAAGCCAGAAGCCAGGAACCTCTTCAGGGTCTCCCATACCAGTGCAGGGATCCGGGGCTTTGGGCTGTCCTCGACTACTTTCCCAGACCACAAGCAGGGAGTGCAAAGGGGGAAGTGGAGTAGACGGGATTGGAACCGTCACCCATATGGGATCCCTGCACGTGCAGGTGGAGGATTAAGTAGCTGAGCTATTGCACCAGGCCCATCATGGGTTTCTTTACAAATAAAAGGAGAAAAGCAACCAAGCGACTCTGCGATAGAAGGTTGCCCTTACTCTTTCCTGCATTCTGAGGAGGAACTTGGAGAGATGAAACGACAGGGCCGCAGTCATATGGCGGGTCAGGATTTAAACTCAGACTTGAGCCATTCATGCTTAGTCTACACCTGCCTCTACCTGCTAACAAGCCCCTCCCTTCGAACACCGACTCCGCCCCTGCCACTGGCCCCGCCCTATGCCACGCCTCTTCGCCGCCAGGGCCTATCCGGAACCTCCTCGGCGGGCCAGGCCTCCCAGCCCTGCCCCCCCAGCCCCGCCCCCTTCCCCGCCCCTGCCATCAGGGCCTATCCGCAGCCTTCCCGCCGGACACGCCCCTGGGCAGGGGCGGACCCTGCCGCCTCTAGTTCCGCCCCCGAACCACGCCCCTGCCCAGGATCCTCACCTGGGGCGGGCCTTCCCCTCTCCAGCCCCGCCCCCTTGCCGCCGGGGCCTATCGGTAGCCTCCCCGGCGGGCCACGCCCCCGGCCCGCTTCAGCAGCCCCGCCCCCTTGCCTCGCAGTCGCCGCGGTCGCCGTCCTGCTGCCTCGAGTCGCCATTTTGCTCGTGGAGACGTCGCCTGCAGGCCCGGCGCCTTCTTCCTCCGGCAGCGGCGGCTGCGGCGGGGCCGGGCTGGGGTCGGGGCCAGGTAGGCGGGCGGCAGGCGGCGGCGGGGACCCGGGGACGACCCGGGCTGGTGCGGGCTTCCGGGTGGGCCTGCGCGCGGCCCGGGGCTGCACGCCGGCTGGGAAGGTCGGGCCCGACGGATGGGGCAGGGGACGTGGTGCATTAGGGCTGTTATTTATCACGTGCAGCAGGAAGATGGAGATGCCGCTGAGGGCGTGAGGGAATGTGATTGCTAGTGTTGGGCCATTTACCACGGCGAGCACGCCCTTGGGGTCCTCCTGCCTCGCTCTCTGGCACCCCGGAGCAGAGCAGGAAGCTTTTATTTTATTTATTTATTTTTTTCCATCTGAGAATACATTTGCGGAAGTGCACGTGCGGAATCCAAGTTCTCTCTCTCTTTGGGCAGAGATTTCTCCGCAGATCTGGGTGGCTGATGGTGGGATTCAGCAGGGCGCGGGTGTGTGGGCTGGCATCGCCGCCTGCAGCTGTAAACCCTTCTTTCCTTGGTGGAAGGCGCTCGGAGGGGCAGAGAGCTCTTCCGTCTGCTGATTCACTCCCCACAGGGCTGCGAATGACCAGGCGGGGCAGGAGCCAGGCGCTTCATCCCTGTGGTACCCAGGCGCCTGGGCCATCCTCTGCTGCTCTCAGGGAACTGGATCGGAAGTGGAGCAGCCAGATCCTGAGTCAGCGGCCATATGGGATAATCACCAGCGTGGCGGGCAGAGGCTTAACACTCTGCTGCAAATTCTTCTCCTAAGCAAACAAAAAAATTGCCTTTTCCAAACGACTTGCGGCTGGCTCTGTGAGGTTGGCGTTACACCGTGTGCTGCTTGCTGCTCTAGGCTGTTAGACAAGAACCTGCTGTCCAAACCGGAAGTTCTGGGTTATGGGCGGAGTCGCCTGAGCCTGCAGGTGGCTGGAGACCCAGCAGCTTTTCAAGCCCCTAGTCAGGGTGTGCTGCTGCTGCATGGGGAATCCTTCCCCCACAGCCCCCCCTGCCAGGGGCTGTGTGGCCCTTCATAACTTCATTCCTGGCTTTGAAAACGACTAAGAAACGAGCCTGGGCCCAGTGCAATGGCTCAGTGTCTAAGTCCTTGCATTGCAAGCTTTGGGATCCTGTCTGTTCCACTCCCCATCCAGCTCCCTGCTTGTGGCCTGGGAAAGCAGTGGAGGACGGCCCAAAGCCTTGGGACCCTGCACCCGCGTGGGAGAAGCTCCTGACTCCTGGCTTTGGATGGGCTCCGCTCCAGCTGTTGCAGCTGTTTGGTGAGTGGACCAGCAGATGGAAGATTATGCTGTGTCTCTTCTTCCCACTAGAAGTTTGCCTTTCAATAAGAGAAAAATAGAAAGAAAAGCAAGGAACATGCTGCAGATGTATTGCTGTTGAGTCCTGCCTGCTGCCTGGCTGTGGTTGCCCAGTCTTGTTTAAAGCTGGAGCCTAAGGTGCGGTCATGGGTGACCTAACAGGAGTGTCATTTGTCCTTTTTTCCCTTGTTCTTTATCTATTTGAAAGGCATGATTAAACAGAGATTCACAGATTGCAAATGGCTGCCAGGATGGGGTAGGGCGAGAGCGGAGCCAGGATCTTCTTCCGGGTCTCTCAGATGGGTCCAGGGGCCAAGCACTTGGGTCATCCTCCACTGCTTTCCAAGAACGCTTTGTAGGGAGCAGGTTAGAACCGGAGCAGCCGGGACTCGAACCAGCTTCCATGTGGGATGCCACTCATAGGCTTTAGCCACCTCACCACAGCGCCAGGCCTGTGATTTGTCCTTGAAAAAGGCGCTCTGGAGAGGAAATGTTAGGAATCTCGCACGCTGGACAGTCAGCCTAGGGTGAGCATAGAAGCCACCGTGGCTCATGGGAAAAAATGTGGGGCGGATGGTGTCTTCTGCTTAGCCTTGTGCCTGTGCACTTCTGGCTGGCCAGTCTGGTTGTCTGGTAGGAGTGTTATTTATTTAATATCATTTCATGGCACAGTTTCATAGGCTGTAGGATTTCCCCCCAGCCCCTCCCCGAACCCTCCCCCCAGATTGAATTCCTCCATATTGTTGCAGTAGTACAGTTCATAACCAGTCCTAATTCCTTCATTGCGGGCATGGACCATACAGAGTCCAGCACCTTATTGTCCAGATATAAGTTCAACAGTTTCATTGGGAGAGCATCCTCGGTCTGAAAGTAGAGCTGGCAGAATATCATCTCCTCCAATGAGATGTCACTACGCAACTTCAACAACAGGAAGAGACATCGAAATTAACATCATGAAGTTGATTAACATGGTATTGAGTGATCAGTATGTTAGAAAAGGCAAGTTCTGAACCACATCCTGTGACGACTTGACATCTCAATTTTAGTATATACACAACTGACTGCTATCAACATCTTTTTTTCTCCCAAGCTAACGTGTTTTTGAGTGGCACAGGAACAGTGGAAGCATCGACATTAACATCCGTCAGATAGAGCAGCTGAGTACAAACTTAACATTGAAGTTTCTATGCAGTTACATCTTGTTCAGCATTAGCAGTCATAAACTGATAAAGTTTTGGGGGAGAATCTTAAAGCCACAACGTAAACTTTGCGGTCTATAGTGATTAAGCATGGTTTTACAGCACTTTGCATTTTAACAATTGAAGAATAGCAAAGTTTTAGGCAGGTGAGCAGGGAAATCCCCAACAACCTAGTGAGTGAGGAAGAATTTAACTCTACATCCTACTTAGTAAAGTCCAGGAGAAGCAAATAAGGAGCCTGACCACTGAGTACAGGCTAGCGATTATAGGCTAGTTGGCCTTTTCCCTGGCTGTTCCAGACTTTATTTTCTTTTTCTTTTTTTTTTTTTTTTGAGATTTATCTATTTATATTGGAAAAGCAGATATATAGAGAGAAGGAGAGAGGAAGATTCTCTGTCCAATGATTCACTCCCGGAGCGGCTGCAATGGTTGGAGCTGAGCCAATCCGAAGCCAGGAGCCTCCTCTGGCTCTCCCACATGGATGCAGGATCCCAAAGCTTTTTGGGCCGTCCTCAACTGCATTCCTAGGCCACAAGCAGGGAGCTGGATGGGAAATGGGGCCGCCAGGGCTAGAACTGGCGCCCATATGGGATCGTGGCGTGTTTGAGGCGAGGACCTTAACCATTACGCTATCGTGCCGGGCCCTGTTCCAGACTTTCTGTATCAGTGTCTCTCTCTGTCTGTCTGAAAAGCCAGATGGGAAGCCTGATCAGTAAGGTACAAGCTTATCAACTAGCTGATTATCAACTAGCTGATCTTTATTAGTCTATCTATCTGAACTAATTTTGGGTCTCACAAGCAAGCAACCCTGATGGTCGGTGTAAGAGAGGGCTGGGAGCCAAGGCTGGAACTAGATAAGGACCAGAGAAAGCTCCTCTCCTGAGTCCAGAAGGAAATTTACAGTCCTTTGATTTCTGAGTGCCACCTGGAGCTCCTGGCTGCAGTTATAGGGGCGTCTGTAGAACTGGATTTTCTTGGAGCTTAGTGAAGGCCACAGCAGGAGAAAGGAGAAGCAAAGCACACCCTTGGGTTTGCGCAGTGAGCAAAATGAGCCATCTCAGACTGGGAGTGTCCACGGTCACTTCCGGCTGGTTAGCATTGGATTGGTGAAGCCTGGCACATGAGCTCCCTCGGTTAGCCTGGGGCAGCGTGAGGGCCAGAGAGCTGCCAGGATGGAGTGGGGGCTCCTCTGTGGAAGCAGCTGGCGTGTAGAGGCATTAGGGCAGTACTGGGAGCATGGGCCCACTCAGGCCCTGGGCTGTGGCTGCTCGCTGGGAACTGCAGGTGGGCCTTGACCCGACTCGGGGCTTGGGGGGGTGGGGATTGTCTGCTGAACTGCCTACCTGTCCTCCTGCCTGCCTCCCCCCACCCGCCCGGCCCCCTAGCATCCTGAGCCTTCTCAAGGCCAGCCGTGAACTCTGTGTAGCTTGTTTGAGGGTGAGCGACTGTAAAACATGTTCCCCTACTCTCACTGCTCTGGGGGGTCACCAAGAAGCTGGATGTGTGATGTACTTGGCAGAGTTTGATGGTAGCCCTGGGAAAGTGTCACCGTTGTGGGTGAGAGAACCGGAGCCAAGGCCTGGTGACTATCAGTGGCAAGGCCTTGCAGCCAGCCCAGGGCGAGCGGGAGCCGATGCTGTGGCTTCTGTTGCAGCTACAGGGAATTTGGCTGGCTTCCGTTTTCTTCCCTTGGACCTGGACTTGCTGTTCCTAAACAGAAAGGATGAGTACAGAGTATCAACTAGGGGCCATCTGAGAGCAATTCGTTTCTTTTTGTTTGTTTTAAGATTTATTTTTATTGAAAAGGCAGATCTACAGAGAGATGGAGAGAGAGAAAGATCTTCCACCTGCTGGTTCATTCCCCAAATGGCTGCAGTGACTGGAGATGAGCCAACCGAAAGACTTTCTCCAGGTCTCCCACGCGGGTGCAGGGTCTCAAGGCTATGGGTGGTTCTCTTTTTATTTTTTTTAATTTTTAACTTAGTGTTTACATTGTATTATGGGATACAGTTCCATAGGTACTGGGATTCCCTCCTATGCCTCCCCCGGTGGTGGAATCCTCCACCCTGTTGTGAGACCTCAGTTCAAGATCAGTTGAGACACCTTCACCGCAAGCATATACCAAGCTTAGAGTCTAGCATCTTATTATCCAGATAATTTATCCGCTTCTTGGGGAGACCTTCCCTGGTCTGAAGGTATGGCCAAGAGAGCAAGATCCCGATCTATTAAGAGCCCCAGCAGCAACAGTATATTTCGTTATGGAGTTAATTGTCATAGTATTGAGTAAACAATATGTTAAAATTACATGTAAGTTCTTAATAGCCTCCTGCGACTATTACAATGACATTTTAACAATTGAGGTACATAATGGGTTTGGGGGGGTTATGGGTGGTTCTCAACTGCTTTCCCAGGCCACAAGCGGGGAGCTGCATGAGAAGTGGGGCCACCAGGACATAAACTAGTGCCCATATGGGATCCCGGCACTTGCAGGGATCAACCAATTGTCACGCTCAGATTCTGAGACCACTTTGAATTGGGCATTGCTAAAATGTACTATTTCTCCCCACCAACTCCACCTTCAAGATTTATTTGAAAGGCCAGAAATGACACAGAGAAAGTTTTATATATATATATATATGAAACACATACACACACACATATATATGAAACATGCACACACATATATTTATGGAGGATGGAGGTGGGGGGGTTCTTCCATTTGTGGTTTTGCTCCGCAAGTGTCACAGCAGCTGGGAGCTCCATCCGGGTCTCCCACATGGGCACCTTAGCCAGGAGCTGGATCAGAAAGCGGAGCCACCTAGACCTGGACGTGTGCTCCTGTGGGCTATTGGTGTCAAGTCACAAGGAGGCTGACCATGTTTCGCATTCTACCCCAGCAGTCCTCGTCAACCTCCACAGATGTTGTTTTTGCCCCCAGAGCAGGGACCAGCCACCTTGTTCTGTGAAGGGCAGCCCCACCATTGTATCCAGTATCGTTTGCAAATCATGTGAGCTTGTGGTGGGGGTCGGGTGGGGTCGGGTGGTGTGTGTGTTATTTGCCCATCTGTGTGTGTGTGTGTGTGTGTGTGTGTGTGTGAGAGAGAGAGAGAGAGAGAGAGAGAGTTATTTGCCCATTCCTGTCTGAGGTTCAAAGCCACTGGTCTTGATAGGCCCCAGCACCCCTGCCCCCGCCCCCAGCCGGGGTCTCCAGGGCTCAGTCATGGCTTCTGTCTGTAATTCATGTTAGATTTGTATTCCACTGTGGAATCCTGGGTGTTCCCAGCTGGAATGTCCCTGGGGAGGCTGGCTGCGGGGGGTGTGGCTCCCGTGCCCGCTGCTGGGACCCTGCACATGCACCCAGGGTGACCACCTCAGAAGACAGGCTACTGTTAGGTCATTGGGTAATAAGGTGACCTCAAAGCGGATGCAAGGGGTCTCTGGAGGACGATGCTGTGCTGTCTTGGAAACATTGCAAATCTTTGTGATACCTTCTTTTTCCCTTGCTGCCTGCGGCGGTGAGGATGCACAGGAAAAGTGGCGGAAGTGCTGGTTCCAGACTGACCAGGGCCTCTGGATTCCACGGAAGCTGGGAGGTGGGGGTGGGGAAGGAGCCTGCCGTGGGCTCACGCCCTCCAATTTCCCAGCATGCTTTGGGGTATTTTTTTTTTTCCAATGGAGGATGTTTGTCAGTACTCCTTCCATCATTAGGGTATAAAGACAACAAACAAAACCAGCGCAGCATCTTCCTGTTGCTGACCTGTGCCACCCTCCCCTGAGCCATCCCAAATGGTCACGCAGCCAAGGAGGCAGAAGGGGCCTGCTGGGGAGTTGGCCCCAGGGCTCTGCAAGGCCAGGAGGGATTGTATGGCCAACGGGTTTTGGAGGAGAAGCTGGGCATAGCTGGTCCTTACTCTGTAAAGATCGGTACGTGTGTCTTGCTAATGGCTCCGCCATCTCTCTGTGTGTTAATCCAGGAGGAATTTTGTCGCCGGAGAATAAGCAGAGGCTGTCTCGGATCGACTTTAAGCAGCACACAGCTCCGCCTTTCTTGTAAGTCGTCTGGCTTCTCCCCGCGTGTGATCACTCGGACCCACACGTGCTTTGTGTCGGCCAATCCCCACCCCAGATCCGCGCGCTATAAAAAGACGCCACCGGGTATAAGCTCATGGCCTTGAGCTGGAGCTGTGTGCTGTTAAATCCTGTCCGTTCAGGCGTGTTTGCTGGCACACAGCAGTTCTGAGTAATGTGGGTTGTAACCTTCCAGGCTCTGAGCATTGGACAACCAAGAAGGGTTGATGTTTTGTGTGGCGACACCTGACCCAGAAACCAAGATGAACATAACCAAAGGAGGCTTGGTGTTGTTTTCAGCAAATTCCAACTCGTCGTGCCAGGAACTGTCCAGGAGGATTGCTGAGTGAGTTCTGATGGTCCCATCCCATGCTCTTCGCCAACCATGCCTTTTTTTTAAAAGATTTATTTATTTTGATTGGAAAGGCAGATATACAGAGAGGAGAGACAGAGAGGAAGATCTTCCATCCGATGATTCACAACCCAAGTGGCCGCAATGGCTGCTGCTGCGCCGATCCGAAGCCAGGAGCCTCTTCCAGGCCTCCCACGCGGGTGCAGGGTCCCAAGGCTTTGGGCCGTCCTCGACTGCTTTCCCGGGCCACAAGCAGGGAGCTGGATGGGAAGTGGGGCTTCCGGGATTAGAATCAGTGCCCATATGGGATCCCGGTGCGTTCTGGGGAGGGCTTTAGCTGCTAGGCTACTGCGCTGGGTTCCAGCCATGCCTTAAATTGGGTAGTTGGATTAATAATTTTTTAAACCTGAAGGGTTGGCTCTTTTTTTTTTTTTAAGATTTTTTTTTTTTGGAAAGGCAGATTTACAGAGAGAATGAGAGACCAAGATCTTCCAGCTGCTGGGTCACTCCCCAAATGGCCAAAATGGCCAGATCTGAGCTGTTCCGAAACCAGGAACCAGGAGCCAGGAGCTTCTTCCGGGTCTCCCATGTGGGTGCAGGGTCCCAAGGCTTTGGGCTGTCTTCTAGGCCACAAGCAGGGAGCTGGATGGGAAGTGCAGCAGCTGGGACTTGAACCAGTAACTATATGGGATCCCAGTGCAAACAAGGCAAGGATTAGCCGCTAGGGCATCGTGCCAGACTCGGATCCTTCCTTCTTAACTAAAATTTGCATCTTAGTGTTGGGTTAGACAGAGAGTGAGTCAGTTTCAGCGATGAGATAATTCTGGTGACGCTAAATAAGTTATGTGAAGGCCATGTGGGGATCGTGATGGGGCGTGTGAATGGATGAGCCAGAGTGGGCCACCAGACAGAGAATCCAAGGCCCTGTGGTGCGTGTGGGAGGAAGTGTGTGTGTGTGTGGTGGGGGCTGTGCAGGCCCCCCTTGGGTGGTGTGGGGGTGACATGAAAATTCTCCACTTCCCCCCCTCCCTCTGTCTTGTCCAGGCGGCTGGGGCTAGAGATGGGCAAAGTGCTGGTCTACCAGGAGCCGAACCGAGGTGAGCCATGGTGCACTACGCGTGGGGCGGGCAGGTGGAGGGGTGGTTTGTAGCTCCCCCCTGCGGTGTGCTGGTGCAGGTCCCGGCTAAAGGCTGGAGCTCTGGCGTGTGTGGTCCTCGTTGGTCCACCAGCCGGCTGATCGGCTGAGTGAGAAGCGTGGATGAACCTGATGCTTTTGTTGCCTGATGCGGGATGAATGTATCCCGCAGGGCCTCAGTTCCTGAGCTTATTTTTGCCTGCAAAATATGTGTGCTGTATAATCTTGGTAATTTCTTCCGAAATGGTGGCTGTTTGAAATGGTTGCAGCAGGAGCACTGGGCAGCTTGCAGGGTCTTGCGAGTCAGCCGCCTTTGCCCTTGGTGAGGTGTGTCTTCTTTCTAGGTCGTAGGCAGCAGCGGTGATTTGAGGAGTGTTTGGGATGAACTGGGTGCCTCACACAGCCCTCACCTAGCCAGTGCTCTGTGGAAACTCAGTACTTGTTCCCTTGCCTTTCCCGGAGAAGGAGGGAGGAAGGAGAGAGAGAGAGAGAGAGAGAGAGAGAGAGAGAGAGAATCTTCTATCTGCTGGTTCACTTTCCAAATATCCGCCACAGTCAGGGCTGGGCCAGGCTGAAGCCAGGAACCAGGAGCTCCGTCCGGGTCTCCCACGTGGGTACAGGGCCCCAAGGACTTGGGCCGTCCTCCGCTGCCTTTCTAGGTGCATTACCAGGGAGCAGGATGTGACAGAGAACAACCGCGACTCCTGCTGGCCCTCGTTCGGGATGTTGGCACCCCGGGCAGTGGCTTAACCCGATGTGCCATCATGCTGGCCCCAGTCTTGTGCACGGATCTATGCCAGAGCTTGCAGGAGGCTTTGGTAATGAAGACAGGAGTTTGGGCAGGCAGACAGGTGCTGAGCTTACTGGTGGCAGGCAGCTGAGCTCACCACTGCCCCACCAACGCTGACTTCAACAGCTGGCTCTGAAGGCCCTGGAGGATGCACGGTGTGCGAGGCAGTGGTGATGGCGGAAGCCAGCCGCGTGGGAGACCCACATTCCCACGGCCCGAGCCTAGCCCCGGCCACGGCGGGCATTTGGGGAGTGGCCTAGCGTGTGGACACTCTCTCTCTTTTGGTCTGTCACATAAATCTTCAACACACACGTGTGCTCCTGTTTGGATCTCCACCGCTGCCTGTGGCTTCAGCAGGGAACGGAGGGAACTAGGCTAGGGGCAGGTTGTTGAGGGCTTTGCCCCCAAACGTAGCAGGGTGAGATTTAATCTGGGTGTCCCCGATGCTCAAGTCTACGTTTCTCAGCATCCTGTCACGTTTTGTAAATGTGCATTCTGAATTATTTCCACCCACCCCCCGCCCAAGTTACTTAAAAGACCATGTTCAAACATGGAAAAGAATTGAAAGGCTATTGCCACGAGGGCAGATGCACGCTGGGCACCTCCGTGCCACACGTGGCACCTTACCCTGAGATTCTGCGCGTGGGGCCGTCTGAAAGGCAGTTGCAGAATACGGGCACTTAAGCCAGATTATCCAAGAATAAGCACTCGCTCCTGCACATCCACAGTCCCTCTGGGACACTCAGAAAATAAAGGATTCCTCAGTTTTCCATTGTCTAATCTATACTCAGGTTTCTCCAGTTGGTCTTAAAAGGCGGTTTGATTGTTTTAAGATTTAATTACTTCTTTTTAATATTGGAAAGTTAGATTTACAGAGAGAAGGAGAGGGGAAGATCTTCCGTCTGACGGTTCACCCTCCAAGTGGCCGCAATGGAGCTAAGTCAATCTGAAGCTAGGAACCAGGAGTCTCTTCCGGGTCTCCCACACGGGTGCAGGGTATCAAGGCTTTGGGCTGACCTTGACTGCTTTCCCAGACCACAAGCAGGGAGCTGGATGGGAATATGAACCCGTGTCCACATAGGATTCTGGCTCTTGCAAGGCGAGGACTTTGGCCACTAGGCTACCGCACTGGGCCCAAGATCATTTTTATTTGGAAGGCAGAATTACAGAGAGAGGAGGCGAGATGGAGAGAGAGTTCTTCCATCTACTGGTTCACTTTCCAAGTGGCTGCAATGGCCAGAGCTGAGCTGATCCGGAACCAGGAGGCAGGAGCTTCTTTTGGGCCTCCCACATGGGTGCAGGGGGCCTAAGGACTTTTTTTTTCCCCAAGGAACATTAGCAAGGAGCTTGGTGGAAAGTAGGGGAACCAGGACATGAACTGGCATCCATGTGGGATGTCGGCACCTGCAGTGGAGCCTTAACCCTCTGCACCATGGTGCCAGCCCCTTATAAGGGTTGTTCAGTGGCTCTTTTTTTTCAGAGCAGAATTCTTTGTTGAATGCTGAAGCTGTGTGCTTTTCATGCCTCTTTTATTCTCATCCAGGAACAGACCCCTCACCTTCTCTTTTTCCCTCCCTGTGACATTGACAGTTGCAATGGTTGTGTTCTGGAATGTTCCATGTCTGTTTCCTTACAGCCGAGGCCACATTTTTGGGAAGATTTCCTGTCTCACTTATCTTTGCTGCAGTGACGTATGCGTATCGCATCTTCCTCCTCATGCATTCTTCTTCAGTCGGTGCCGCCCCGGTGCCAGAGTGCGCGAATCCCCCACTGCTCCAAGGCGGTGGGAAGCGTAGATCCGACCCGAGTCCCAAGTGTAACTCCCTCGCAGGAATGCGAATAGCAGTGACGAATAAGAGTGATTTGAGAAGGCGCCTGTCACCTCCTGGGGCGCGTGGAGCCCGACAAGACTGACTCCATCACTGCCCACGGTTTTTGACATTGAGGAGGGATGCACATTTTTTGTGTGTTTTTTAAAAACTTGCAATCATATGCCTTCCCCTTTTTTTTTTTTTCTTTTCCCTGTCTCTGTTCCTGCCAGAAACAAGAGTACAAATTCAGGAGTCTGTGCGAGGGAAAGATGTGTTTATTATCCAGACCGTGTCCAAGTGAGTATCCATCCGGCAGAGGGACCGTTGTCTGGGCGTACGTGGGTGTGCAGGGGACCTGTGGGGCATGGGTGGGCGCAGCAAGAGGCGTGAGGGGTGTGGAATGTGTGTGGGTGTCCATGGGTGAGCGTGGGACCTGTGGGGCATGGGTGGGCACGTGGGAGTGTGGCGTGGCCGTGGGTGTGCACAGGTGTGTGTGCGTGTGGCTTAGTGGGCATGTGTGAAGGTGCTTGGGCGTGTATGCTTACAGTGATAATGGTTCTCTAGACAGAAGGTTCTGAGATGACCTTCGACTGCTGCTGGTTCTGTGGTCTGGGTGTTCGGACTCACTGGGTATTGGAGAAGAGGCCCTGAGGGGGACGTGGGTGACCCCCTGTCGAAGAGAGAGGGAGAGAATTTTTCATCTGCTGGTTCGCTCCCCAATGGCTGCAGCATCCCTTCCCCCAGGATGAGTGCTGTTTCAAGACCTGACTGACCCACTTCCCATCCGGCAGCCTGCTAATGCACGTGGGAAAGCACAAGAAGGCAACCCGAGTGCTTGGGCCTCTGCGCCCACATGGGCTTGTTCCAAGCCGGAACAAGCCTCCTGGCTTCAGCTCCGTCAGCTGCAGCTGTTTTGAGAGTGAGCTAGTGGATGGAAGATCTCGGTCTCTTTTTCTTTCTCTGCGAAGTTGACTCTCAGATACAGTCAAGGAGAGTCCTTGTATGGTGGTTCGCTGCCCAAAAGCCCGCAATGTCCCGGCTGGGTCAGCCCCAAGCTGGGCGCCACGGGGGGGGGGGGACAGGGACTGGGCTTGAGAAGGGACACCTGGATCCTGGCCCTTGCTGGCCGTGAGTAGCCTGACCACACTAGCCAGGTTCCAGAGTGGCTGGGCTGAGATGGGGATGGAGGAACAGGACCAGGGCAGGGTGGGGCAGGGATAGAGTCGGAACTTGATAAGTCCAAGAATCCTTGTACGGCCTTGGGCTTTTTGCTGGTGGCAGTGTGAGGGGGCGAGCTGGGATCCTAAGTAGAATCCTGCCTGCTCTGGCCTTCACTTAGGGCCAGTGCCCCGGGGCACCCTGTGTCGGCTACTGGCAGCGTGGTTACCTGGTACCCGGGGTAGGAGCTGGGAGGCTGGCAGAGAGATAAACTCCCAGGGTGGGCAAGGAGCTTTGAGGAGCCCTGTGGTTTTTACCCCGAGGTTTTCCAGAGAGATGGTTCTTTTGGGGGGAAGTGCAGTTCTGTGGGGGTGGGTTAGGTCTCAGTAGTCTTAGTGGATTTTGCAGGTCAGTGGCCTGGCAGCGGGGAAAGCCCGTTAGGCTGGAGTGCACGGGCAGTCCCGGGCTGGGATCCGAGAAGGCCTTGGAGTTGGGCGGGAGGGAGTGGACAAGTCAGAGGGCAGCGGTTGGCAGGACAGGAACCTAGGGAAGGCAGACAGGAGAGATGGCACAGGAAGAGAGTGTCCTGGCCGCCAAGTAAAGAAGGGACGGGGTGAGCAGCGGAGCAAGGGGGTCGTGGGAGAGAAGGACTAGAACTGGCCGGTGGTGTGGGGCACCAGAGGCCGGGGAGGAAGGGTTATGGAGGTGTGGATGGGTGGGAGAGGGTGAGATGGGATGGGTCAGTGGGCGGAGGCAGCCCTGTGTTGGACTGCTGGGACTGTGCCTCTGAGTTGCAGAGTTTTTTTTTTTTTTTTTATTATTATTCTTTTTTAAAGTTATTTTCATTTGATTAGAGAGAGAGAGAGACAGAGAGATCTTCTATCCGTTGATTTCCCCAAATGCTTGCAACAAGCAGGGCTGGGTCTGGCCTCAAACCAGGAACCTGAAACTCCCGTCTGGGGCTCCTAACACGGTAGCCAGGCACCTCCCAGGGTGCAGTGCATCAACAGGGAGCTGGATCAGAAGTGGCGCTGCCAATGAGAACCAGTGTCCCAAGTGGCGATACCACTGCTTGGGCCCAAACACCTGTGCCCCGTGTCTGGGTAAAGTTGCTGAATGTGTATAGGCTGATGTGAGCTGGGACTTAGAGGCCACGGTGGTTTGTGGCCTGCAGAGGCTGGCGAGGGAAGGTGTGCTGAGTGTGTGCCTGGAGGGGCAGTCCGCCCTGGGTGGAAGGCTGTGGGCGGATAGTTGCGGGGTCGGGGCGGGGAGAGTGTTCCTCTGCTCACCTCCCAGCCCCGAGTGCAGCGAGCGGTGGCTCTGCCTGGAGCCCTTGGACGCAGCCGTCACTGAGCGCTGTTCCCCACGTGGGCTTTCTGTGTGTGGGCCACAGGGACGTGAACACCACCATCATGGAGCTGCTCATCATGGTGTATGCGTGTAAGACGTCCTGCGCCAAGAGCATCACGGGCGTCCTCCCCTACTTCCCCTACAGCAAGCAGTGCAAGATGAGGAAGCGGGGCTCCATCGTCTCCAAGCTGCTGGCCTCCATGATGTGCAAAGCCGGTGAGCTGCAGACACAGCCCCAGCCCCTTGTTCCCTCCCCACGTGCCTGCAATGGCCAGGGCTGAATCCAGCGCTCGGCCCAGGGCTCCCCACTGGGGATGACAGGGGGCCAGTGGTACCTCCTCCCAGGATGCTCCTGGGCAGGAAGCCGGAGTCGGGAACTGGGCTCAGTGTCAGACCCATGCATTCTGATATGGGATGCCAGCATCTTTTTGTTCTTTAAGGGATTTTATTCTTTATTGGAAAGACAAATGACAGAGAGAGAGATAGTGGAATCTATTGGCTTACTGTCTAATGGCGTAGTGGCCGGGGGGCTGGGCCAGGAGCTACATCCAGGTCACCCACATGGGTGCAGGGCTCCAAGGCCTTGCGCCATTTTCCACTATTTTCCGGGCCATAAGCAAGGAACTGATAGGAAATGGAGCACTTGAGACATGAACTGGCACTCTTATGGGATGCCAGCACTACAGGCCAAAGATTAGCCTGTCTGCTCTATTTTTTTTTTTAAGATATAATTATTTTTATTTGAAGGGTAGATTCACAGAGAGAAGGACAGAGAAGAGAGATCTTCCATCTGCCGGTTCACTTAATAGCTGCAACAGCTGGAACTGAGCCGATCTGAAGCCAGAAGCAAGGAGCCTCTTCTGGGTCTCCTTGTTTTTTGTTCTTTTTTTTTAAGATTTATTTTTATTATTTTTTTTATTGGAAAGGCGGATATACAGAGAGGAAGATCTTCCGTCCGATGATCCACTCCCCAAGTGAGCACAACGGCCAATGCTATGCCGGTCCAAAGCCAGGAGCCTCTTCCGGGTCTCCCACGCGGGTGCAGGGTCCCAAAGTCTTGGGCCGTCCTTGACTGCTTTCCTAGGTCACAGGCAGGGAGCTGGAAGGGAAGCAGGGCTGCCGGGATTAGAACCGGTGCCCACATGGGATCCCGGGCGTGCAAGGCGAGGACGTTAACCACTTGCGCCACCACGCTGGGCCCGCACTTGTATCATCCTCTGCTTCTTTCCCAGTCCATAATTAGGAACTGGGTGGGAAGTGGAGCTTCTGGGACTAGATAGAACCAGTGTCCATGTGGGATGCTGGCACTGTAGGCAGAGGATTAACCCATTGAGCCGCTGTGCCTGCCTTGCAAATAAATACGTATTTTTTAAAGATTTTATTTTATTTTATTTTTTAAAGATTTATTTATTTTATTTTAAAGGCAGATTTTTACAGAGAGATCTTCCATCCTGTGGTTCACTTCCCAAATGGCCACAGTGGCCGGAGCTGAGCCGATCTAAAGCCAGGGGCCAGAAGCTTCCTCCGGATTTTCCATGTGGGTGCAGGGGTCCAAGCACTTGGACCATCCTCTGCTGCTTTCCCATCTGGGTTGGAAGTGGATCAGCTGGGACTCAACGTGGTACCCATGGTGGCAGCTTCTCCCCCTGCCCCCCCCGCCTTTTTTTTTCCTTTTAATAAACTTTAGTCTCAGAATAGATTCAAACTTGGAAGACAAAAATTGTGATGTTTCCACTCCCCCATCCACGCACAGTCAGCCACTTAATTGCTCACAGCTCGTGTTTGTCACTGCCTGCTTTTCCTACTTTCCGTTCTTATTGTTGTCTAAACTCCCTCTGTCCTTCCCAACCTCCCAGTCAGGTGATCACCCTTCTGTGTTCCGATAGTTAAAAAAAAAAAGTCTCCCATGTAGGAGGGATCCCAGGCGGCGGCCCCCGTGTCTGGCCTGGGTCACTGTACAGGACGTTGAGCCCAGCAGCACTCCGTGGTGTATGCCATAGGTGTGTGCTGCTGCCGGCTGGCTCTCTCGGCTCTCAGGCTGTGGGGCTCCTGAGCCGTGGCCGGGGCTGGGGCTCCGTGGCGGGGTGGGGGGGACCGTGTTTGCACAGCCGGTCATCACCATCCGGGGCTCCTAGCCTGGGCTGTGCGATGTGTCTGCTCTATCTGAAGGCCTCAGCCATCTCATCACCATGGACCTGCACCAGAAGGAGATCCAGGGCTTCTTTAACATCCCCGTGGATAACCTGCGCGCCTCTCCCTTCCTGCTGCAGTACATTCAAGAAGAGGTGAGCTCGCCCTGCCTGGCCGGATGCCAACACTGGGCTTGAGGTGTGTCTTCGTGTCTCCCCAGGGGAATGTAAACTTGGTGTATTCTGCCCGAAGGCCCGTGGACTTGGTACATGTTCTTAGATGCTTCTCTGCGTGAGTGTACATGTGTGTGCCGTGAGTGTGTGAGTTGGACCTCAGAAACCCAGGATTAATCCCGACTGTACATCCTCCATCCATCCCTCTCTTCATTGTTCCAGCTGTGCCCTGTCCATCTGTCCATCTCTCCGCCCTGCCTCTGCCCATCTGCCTGCAGGGCTCAGCGCCCTGGGCCCCCTGTCATCTGTGGTTCACTCCTCAAATGGCCACGGTGAGCGAGCTGAGCCAATTCAAAGCTAGGAGCCAGGAGGTTCTTCCAGGTCTCCCATGTAGGTGCAGGCCTAAGCCTTTGAGCCCTTTCTTCTGCTTTCCCAGGCCGCAAGCAGGGAGTTGGGACTTGAACCAGTGCCCATATGGGATGCTGGTGCCACGAGCAGGGGAGGCTCCGCCTACCTGCCTGTTTTACAATTTTAGCTTCTCTGAACTTGGTGGCAAATGCATACCCTGAAAACACTGTGCATTTCAAAAGATGTTTTTCATCAAAATAGAGATCCTTTAATTCTATTTTCCATAAACATCTGAACTGCCTGTCAGGAAGGCAGGCTGTGTCATCCTCTGGGCCTTGTCCCCTTTGCTGGGGCGGGCAGTGAGGTCCCCCCTTGCGGCTGTCACGTGTGTCCTTCCTTTGGGCCATTGGGGTGGTGACAGTGGGCACTCGTGGTATCTCCAGCAGCTTGAGGTTATGCACCTGCCAAAGCACTGCTGACTCCCCCACAACAGCCACACCAGTGTCTGCCCCCAGCAGTGGTGAGATTGAGTGTCAGACCTGGCGTCATCACTTTGATGAGTCTGTGACACTGGCTGAGCTGAGGAGGGGTGCCGGGTGCCCTGTGAGCGTCTGCCAGCTCATTGACATTGGCTGAGCTGAGGAGGGGTGCCCGGTGCCCTGTGAGCATCTGCCAGCTCACTGACACTGGCTGAGCTGAGGAGGGGTGCCGGGTGCCCCGTGAGCATCTGCCAGCTCACTGACACTGGCTGAGCTGAGGAGGGGTGCCTGGTGCCCCGTGAGCGTCTGCCAGCTCACTGACACTGGCTGAGCTGAGGAGGGGGTGCCCGGTGCCCCGTGAGCATCTGCTAGCTCACTGACACTGGCTGAGCTGAGGAGGGGTGCCCGGTGCCCCGTGAGCGTCTGCCAGCTCACTGACATGGCAGAGCTGAGGAGGGGTGCTGGGTGCTCCTTGAGTGTCTGCTGTCAGAGACCAGCTCCAGCCGAGTTCAGAACTCGAGAAGGGTGCATGGAGTAGGTGTGTACAGAGAGAAAAGAAATGGAGCACTACAATTTCTTTATACTATACAGAAACTCTCCTGCAGACTCTTCTTCATGGTCAAGCTAAAGATAACTCTGCCCTTTGTTTCACTGTAAGGCAGGACATTATCCATCCAGACCCTGCGGTCAGATTCTGCAATGGATGGCGCATATCAGTCAGAAACACATTCCTGCTGCAACCCTCATTCTACAACTTAATCTTAAATCAGTTTAAAGGAAGAAAGGCTTCAAAGAAGGAGAAACCTAAAGATCAAGGAAAGAAAACCCTAAACGTAGATTCCCACTACACCCATGGACTAAGCACCCTACGGTAGCATGTTTTACGATGTTAGTATAAGCATCCTCGAGCTCTCCCTGCCATGTGGTCAGTGGGGGCAGCAGAGACAGCATGAATTGTAAAAGGCCTTTTTGTTGCCAAGCCATTATCAGCAACATCAACTTCCAGGCTCACAGTGATAGGAACACCAACTCCACAGAGGCAAACAGCGCCTCAAGAGGTGACAGAACTCTCGGTGGGTTTGTCAGGTGTCCATGCAGAGGGGGTGGAACTGCCTTGAGGTGGTTGCAGAGACATCCCCCGGGGGCCTGGCCTTGCAGCGGGGAGCTCCTCCTGGCCTTGCCACACCCACTGCACGGACCCCTGCGATGGGCAGCTCACTGACACTGGCTGAGCTGAGGCTTGCTGTTTTACCTTCTTGATTCCGGCCTGGTCTTCTGCTGATGGTTAACATCACATCTGCCCCTAAGCTTGGAGCTTGGGTGTTTGAGTTCCACAAGTCTTGTTTTCATGAAGATGACATAACATGAACGATCCACTGGTATTGACTGTCCTCACAGCGTGGTGCGAGGCCTACTCACCGCTGTCCATGCCTCTGCCCGGCAGCTGCCAGTCAGCCTGGCCTCTGCACCTGCCCAGTCTAGATGCTTCATCAGCAGAATCCGGCCGTACTCATCCTTCATGCGTGGCTTCTTCCATTTAAGGTTAGGGTTGGAAGTTCTCAGTGTCATAGCATGGGTTAGCAACTCATTCTTTTTTTTTTTTTATAGATGTATTTATTTATTGGAAAGTCAGATATACAGAGAGGAGGAGAGACAGAGAGGAAGATCTTCCGTCCGATGATTCACTCCCCAAGTGAGCCCATGCTATGTCGATCCGAAGCCAGGAACCAGGAACTTCTTCCAGGTGTCCCACACGGGTGCAGGGTCTCAAAGCTTTGGGCCATCCTTGACTGCTCTCCCGGGTCACAGGCAGAGAGCTGGATGGGAAGCGGGGCTGCCGGGGTTAAAACTGGCACCCATATGGGATCCGGGCTTGCAAGGTAAGGACCCTAACCACTGCGCCATCGCGCCGGGCCCACCTGTGATTGTTTTTAAGCTGGATTGTTTTGCTTATTTATTTATTTATTTATTTTTAGCATCTTTTTTTTAATCATTTTTTACAGAATTATTTATTTTTATCGCAAAGTCAGATAAATATAGAGGAGGAGAGATGGAGAGGAAGATCTTCCATCTGATGAGTCACTCCCCAAGTGAGTGCAACAGCCAGTGCTGTGCCAATCTGAAGCCAGGAACCAGAACTTCCTGCAGGTCTCCCATGTGGGTGCAGAGTCCCAAGGCTTTGGGCTGTCTTCAACTGCTTTCCCAGGCCACAGGCAGGGAGCTGGATGGGAAGTGGAACTGCCGGGATTAGAACCGGCGCCCATATGGGATCCTGGCGCGTTCAAGGCAAGGACTTCAGCTGCTAGGCCACGGTGCCAGGCCCGTATTTTTAGCATCTTAATGTATTTTTATTTTGCTTGAAAAACGGGGAGAGAGAGATGCATAGAGGAAAAGAGAGATCTTCCATCTGTGGGTCAGCCCCCAAATACCTGTCGCAATTTAGGGGCTGGGCAGCCCAAAGCCAGGAACCCAGAATTCCTTCCTTCGGTCCCACACGGGTGGCAGGGGCCCAGTGCTTGAACCATCACCCACTGCCCCAAGGATGTGCAGCTACAGTTTGGAGTAGAAATGGGACTTGAATCCAGGCACTTTCTTTTTTTTTTTTTTTTTTTTTAATTTAAAGATTTATTTTATTTTTATTGGAAAGGTGGATATACAGAGAGGAGAGACAGAGAGGAAGATCTTCCGTCCAATGATTCATTCCCCAAGTGAGCGCAACGGCCGATGCTATGCCGATCCAAAGCCAGGAGCCAGGAGCTTCTTCCAGGTCTCCCACACAGGTGCAGGGTCCCAAAGCTTTGGGCGGTCCTTGACTGCTTTTCCAGGCCACAAGCAGGGAGCTGGATGGGAAGTGGAGCTGCCGGGATTAGAACCAGTGCCCATATGGGATTCTAGTGCATTCAAGGTGAGGAATTTAGCTGCTAGACCACTGTGCTGGACCCATCTTTTTATTTTATTTTCTTTTAAGATTTATTTATTTTTATTGGAAAATCAGATATTCAAAGAGGAAGAGAGACAGAGAGGAAAGATTTTCTATCTGCTGATTCATTCCCCAAGAAGCTACAATGGCTGGAGCTACGCCTATCCAAAGCCATGAGCCAGGACCCTATTCTGGGTCTCCCTCGCAAGTGCAGGGTCCAAAGGCTTTGGGCTATCCTTAGCTACTTTTCCAGGCTACAAGCAGGGAGCTGGATGGGAAGTGGGGCCGCCAGGAATAGGACCGGTGTCCATATAGGATCCAGGTGTGCGCAAGGTGAAGACTTTAGCGACTAGGCTACTGCACTGGGCCTGGATTTTATAGTCTTAAAGCTCTTATATTTAGGTCACTGTTCCAGTTTGGTGACTTTTTTTTTTCCCAAAGATTTATTTTAATCTTTTTTGAAAGGCACAGTTGCAGAGAGATAAGGAGAGAGATCTTTGATATGGTGGTTCACTGTCTAGGTGGCAGGCAGAGGCTGGAGCTGAGCCACTCAGAAACCAGGAGTTGTTTTTATTCTTCTCCTGGGTCTTCTGTGTGGGGGTGCGGCAGCCCAAGAACTTCTACCGCTTGTCCAGGAAACTGGATTGTAAGTGCAGCAGCTGGGACCCGAATCGGTGCCCATGTGAGATGCTGGCCCCAAGGAGGGAGGCAGGGGTGCGCTTTGATTCTTCAGTGCATAGCTAGCTGGTTGTGCAGTTCCTCTTCTCATTGAATTGCTCCAGCACCCTCGTGTCCAAAGCCACTTGCGTAAGGTCGGAGGTCACGTTCAGAACCAGAAATCCACACAGAATAGAGGTCAGCTTCAAGCAAGCTTCATCGGAAGCGTTCCTGGGTGAGGTTCACTGGTCCGGCAGAGACAGTGGGCCGGGAAAGTTGTGCCCCCGGGATGAGAGTGGTTGTTTTTATTTGGGGGGCTGTAGAAGTGGGAGATGGGGGACAAAGGAATGTCGCTGTGGACTGCTGGAGGAAGCTGCCTTCTCCTGGTGTGGCCTTATCAGCCGCCCTTCTGGGCCTCCTCCCAGGCGCCCCTCACCCATCCCGGCCGGGCCTTACATTGCAACCCTTTTGTGGATCTCTCGGCTGCTTCCTGCTGAGTTGGCATTGAGGGGAAGGGTGGCTGGCCCACTGGGCTGGAAGGCGCCGGGAGGAGGTGGGGAGTTGAGCACGTCAGGGCA